CTCGAGAACAGTCACAGATTTCATCTGATTTTGGTTATTTTTTTATTGAAAACAGATACTCTTCCGTCTTGCTTATTTCACACTGTTCGTGAGAGAATATCAAAAGTGAAAATTACAAAAAACTTTGGCAATAGCAGAGCATAATCATTACGTTATGTGTACATTACCAGCCTTTAAGGAAAGAAGCGTCTCTAAGTCCTTGCGTCCATATGCAGTGCACTGCTTTATTTTGAATGTGACTACTTTTTGAAGAACTTGCTGTTGCAACCCTCCTCAAGCGACATTTCTGTTGGTGAGTAGCTAATGGACTAGGTCATCACGGGCTTAATTGATTAACTAATCCCATTACAACTCAGTTTCACAGAACAGCTCCAATGTATATAAAACGCTACTTCGAAATTTTCATTAAATTTTCATTTCTTGATAGAGTGGTTGAGATGGAGAATGGATCAATGCGGGAAATTAGAGCAGGCTCGGTTGGAGAAACATTGCTACTTCAACGGTGGTGTCAGCACTGACCGCCTCTGTTGTCTAGTGGTCAGAGTTCCTGGCTACAGAACCAGAGATCAGGGTTCGATTCCCGGTTCTATCATATTTTCTGAGAAATAGTGGGTCTGGAACGGGGTCCACTCAGCCTAGTGAGGATAACTGAGGAGCAATTTCAAGGTAATAGAGGATCCTGTCTAGAAACCCGAAATTAACTGCCTTGGGTATCCGTTGGGATGACCACGCCACAACCTCTATTCGCTAAAGTTGGCACTAACTTCGCCGACAAGCGTAAAGAGTAAGCCTGTTGATATCAGTAATATTCCTAAATTAGATGTGCGTAGGCTGATTATATTTCCTCGTAAAAAGGAGCTGTAGTTTCTAAAAGCAGGGACAACACTTTCTTCAAAATCAATATACCACAAAACATTCACCATTAAAAGTTGCTGTACTCCATTCAGCTTGGTCAACAGCAATGCAGTAAAAGAAAATATGGAAATACAAACTCCCTCACTCACTCACTCACTCATGGAGCTGAGCCCTTCTCGAGAAACCGCCAAGTCTGCAGCTACTGAAGGACTTCCCAGCATTTTAAGGAACTTGAAAGTTCATTACCGTGGTGAAAAGAGCCCTCCACTGGTCCCTATTCTGAGACAGATCAATCGAATCCATTTTAATATTATCCACCCACTTACGTCTTAGTCTTCCCAGTGGTCCTTTTCCTTCTGATTTTCGCACCAATATCCTATATGCATTTCTCTTCTCCCCCTTTCGTGTTACATGCCTTGCCCACCTCAGCCTCCTTGACTTGATCATTCTAATTATACTTGGGGAAGAGTACAAGTCATGAAGCTCCTCATTATGAAGTTTCTGTAAATACAAACACAATAAATTATTTAAAATGTCTATTCAAACTTAGTAGCTTGTCATACAACCAGCAGCAGATAATGCAACGCAGACTGACCTTGCAAGCCAACTCTTGTTCTCGGTGCCTCTGTTCGGTTGAAGTTTCAGGCCAGTATCACAAGACTCACTTCGCTTGCCTAGTTATTATCAAATTAGTGATATATACCCACGCTTCATCTACTCCGACACACGGTTCTACTGCCTGGAAGTTGCCACAGATAACTTCTGAACTCTGGGCTGTTCCCAATGTTTGAAGTGCTGAAGTTTATAACACACATGTCTCGCACAAAATTAATATCTGTCAAAATTTCACAAGCAGTTCTTTATCTTTTTAATTTTGTAGCTTTTTTTTTTCAGCTTCATCACCCAACGGGCCCGTACAGCAATGCCGTTTTAGGCTTGTATCTTGTAGTTAAACGGCCAGAATAGCAGCAGCATTACTGGCTATCCTGAGTAAAATCATTCGCATTTTTACCCAGTATCTGTGTTTGACCTAAATGTTGTGTTTAATTAGCACTGTTATTTGTACCCTACCCTGAGACGCAATTGTTTTGAAGAGCACTGTTTTCTGGGATATGAGTAGTCTAATAGAAGTTTACACATTTCCGGGAAAATATGCTACTTCCTTTTCAGGGTGGAAGAATCAGGCAACCCAGCCGAAAGCTACACCCCGGAATGCAGGTAAACTTCTACCACGCTACACAGAGTCATATCTAAGGAAATATTATTTTTCGGATACAGTTCCAAGAACCTGAAATTTCACAATGTACTGTTTTATTCAGTGTATAAGCTACACACACACACACACACACACACACACACACACATATATATATTATCATTTGTTTAACAGAAGTTTATGTGACAACCAAAACAGACTTAATTCTGGAGCTTGTTAAACATTACATTTCAATAATTTCAACAGAATGAATTGAAACAAGTACCTAAATATTTAACACTATATTGAACTGTCACAGCGTTACATTGAGGTCATGCATGCTGCCTTTCCAAGTAGAGCAAATCGACACAAGCTACCGGGTGGGTTGGCTTAGCGGTTACGTTTTTCACTCGTATTCTGGAGGGGCTTGTTTCGATTCTCGGCTGGAACATCAGATATCTTGACTAAGGTTCTTCTTGATTTCCGACCTTTTCAAATATTCTCCGGGTTCGAATCTCGATTATGCCAAGACCGTTCTCATCTAAACTCTTTCCAATTTATCATTCGTCAGTACTTCACAATTTGCTGGTACAGTTTACACATTTAGAGTGTCGTAATATAGCCCACAAAAACACGACCTTATGGCACACTGTGCGCATGTTGCTCGTCTCAGATACGAAATATGAATCAGAGCAGAAGGTTTTCGTCACAGATTATGAATACAAAATTATTTTGTTTAATTCTGGGGAAAGAATATGAGGGTGAGGCAGAGTAATTAATACTATTTTTAACACTTCGAGGTTAACTTTACAGACGAACTGATAAGCTGCCTATGATGCATTAGACCTTGCCGAACTAATAAACTTCATCTTTATGAAGAAACAACTATTAACGAGTATCTCGTCTGAAATAATCATCATGTACTATTTATTCATCAACACGTAACTAAATAACTTAATGTGAATCCATACACACTAGGGCGTAATACTAAATTCCTCTTAAATTTAATCTTAAATTAATTTTCAACTAACTTCAATTTTAATTTAATTTCAATTTATAAAAATAAGATTCTTTTAAATTCGCTTAGTGAGGGGATGGAGGCGATATGTTCCTCCGAAACGTCGGTTAAAACCAAGAATACACGGCGCCAGATCCCAGAAGACGACTTTCTTCAACAATCAGTTTTGTTTCCCAGATAAAGTAAATCGTATGTGAGAAGGGACTTGAACTCTTCTGTCTTCTGTGATATAACCCAATGTAGTCCACTGAAGTCAAACAACGTTTCGGAGGAAAATATCGCCAACAAGATACCAGCGTGAAGCAGGCAGCAAGAATGCAAAGTTCTTATTTGCTCAGTGTGTTTATATATTCTTTCTTGGGCTAATTACTTTATGAAAACGTGATATGTCCAGTGCGTTTATCATTGCTAATGATGACAATAAATGAACCAGGACCTAGCGACGCAGCTTTTGTTTGAAAGGAACGCTTACGTTACATTACAACTAGCGCTCACATTTGCTCGCCGTTGCAACGTCTGGCCACGTAATGAGATTACAGGCGCTCTTGGTGTTGCCTTTTGCGAGCGGGAACCGTCCCAGTGTGGAACAGTTCCAGCTTTGAGGTTTGAATAACTGACTCTGTAACTTATCCTTTACCCAGTTACGTACCGCCGTGTGAACCGTAATATCATCCTATTATCATCCTCTCATCCCGTCCTTTTCATGCGACTCCTCTTTGAGAATTCGCCACCAAAATTGTATATCAGTTTCTTCTCTCTCTCCTTTATTTCACAATCCTAACAATCCTAGAGACTGGATTGATCTGACTCATGATAGGGACTGCTTGAGGGCTCTTGTGAACACGGTAATGAACCTTCGGGTTCCATAAAATGCTGGGAAGTTCTTGCGTAGATGCACAATTAGCAACTTCTCAAGAAGGGCTCAATTTCATGAGTGAATGAACAATCCCAGGTAACCTGAAGAAGTCATCAAGTTCCTTGTTATGTGATATCCTGAATTGCACATTTATTTAATCAGTGTTGGATCCAAATGTTCCCATGAGAAATAGTTCTCAAGCAATTGACATTCATGTGCTTCCCTCAAAGCAGATCGCGTTCCACTGCAGCAAGAAATAACCGATGAAATTTATCATTTCCTATATAGGCCTAATGATCTGCATGTTTAACCCAATTTGGAACAACACAATACGTTCAGAACGATACTTTCGGTCCGTGTACCTCTGCTGGGCGAAACAGAGAATTAGTACACCATTCTGATTGGGAACATTCGAGAGAATGTGCCACTTGAAGACATGGGAGGTTAATGGAACAAGAATTTCTGGGAAGAAATAAAAGCGTACTTTCCTGCGATACGACATTAATCTCATGGAAAAATACACGCCCAATAATTCTATTATTGTATTTGTTGCCGCGAAAACGCGTTTACTGAGCCGTTGCCTAGCAAAGATAAGGGGGATAAACACACAGACTGACGGGAGGGATTTATGAAGTACGCCGTTGAGATACGCTCAGATGCCATGTTATACAAACTAAATTTCATAAATTCTAGTTCAGGCGTTCCAAAGTTGATGTAAGGGATACAGACCCACCCAACAAAATGATCTCATAAGCCTAGTATAATTTTTCAAAAAAGTAGGGTAAAAATAGGTATTAAAGAACTAAGGTGTGAAATTATTGACATGATTGAAATCCACAGTGTCAAATAGTGGGCTCTTGAACACACAGTAGTGAACACTCGGTTTGCATATAAGCAAGGAATATCTAAAAAAAGAAAAGCTGAGCAACTACCAACTTATCAAAGACCCTAAGCAGTTGGTTAGGAATTTATATTTTAGATTTGAATCTGTGTAAACGAACAAGAAAACTAATATTTAACCTGCTTCACAGAGCAGTTCTGAATGGCCTTCCTCTGATGTACACTCTTTCTTTTAGCGCCTGTCCGCTGTACCACCCGCACCAGCCCGGTGCCTGACGCCGCGTTCGTACGGTTCCGCAGACTGCACGCCGCGTCTCAGCTTGGCGCATGCGCACAAGAAGCTAAGTCCAGGCAGCGGCAGTCTCTCTCTCGCCACGGACCCAAGCACCCCTAGCGACAAGGGTGAGTCTTCTTTTTTCTCAGTTTATTCAGCTACGGTTTACAAACTTTCAACCTAATATTGTTAAGTTAATTAAACTGGGCCATAAAGCACATGCGGGCGACAAGAGGAATGTATAAAACACTTCAGCCGGAATAATTCAGGGAACTGACCACTTTGGAAATCTACGCTTAGATGAAAGATACTGTTAAAAACGATTTTAGATAAAAGATACCTGAACATGTGGACTGAATTCAAGTTTCTCAGGACGGAATTCCTTGACCAGCTGAGAAACTATAAAATTTCAAGTAAAATACTGTATTGCGGACAAAGTTACAGGTAATGTAGGCTGAACAGGGATAACGCAGTCACTGAGTGACTCGCTACTGGCTGGACTTCTTGGGTTTGATTTCCGGCAGGGGCAAAAATATTCTCTTTGTCACCACTAAGTTCAGACCAGCCCTTGTGGTCGCCGTCTCTTCTGGCTAAAGATCAGCTAAGAGCCTTCTCCTTGGGTGAAGCGGCCAGCATTTCCTCCCTGCCCTGGGATAGCTCAGTCGATATAGCGCGTAGCTACTGGCTGGACGACCGATGAGTCTGAGTTCGAGTCCCGGTAAGGTCAAGAATTTTCTCTTCTCCATGTCATCCAGAGTGACTCTGGGGTCAGTCCAATGGGTACCAAGGGTTCCGTGGGAACAAAGTGGCCAGCGCATGAAGCTGACCACTCATCTCCAGCTAGTGCAGATTTCAAGATCTATACATCCACTCCTCCATACGTCTTCATGGCATAGTGCTTAATTAGTTATGCACAGGGACGACTTTGTCATTTGTTTTAACTTACCCTTATGTTATTTGTTAACGAGATGCTTACACATGGTGGCCACTTGACGTTAACGTAATGGCTGCATAGCATAGAGTGGGAGCACGATTGGTAGAATGGAGATATGTAGAACGAACTCGCTATATCTTGCTTTAAGGATCTTTCTCTTTGCGAAGCGTTGCCGTGAGGAGATAAACATTTGCTAGGCGGTGGACTGCCTGTGCAAGCACTAAACCGTCGCCTCCCCTTTCTTCTGTGGACGCATTTCTATGGATGCCTTTCCGTGGAGTGGTACTGCAAACGGTGTTATGTCCCACACTTACAAGCGAGGTCGATGGCCCGAAACAACGAATGCGTGAATAAATTACATCTTTGAAACAAGAGAGTTTGCAAAATGTTTGTTACATGTTGCTGCTAGTATATAGAGTTCTTCATTACAAGAACCGGCGTTCATTTTGAGTAGATTCTTCGTGTATTTATGGCGTTAAGTTCACAGTTAGCATTTCCAAAGATACTAATCTAACTTCCCTGTGCCTGCTTGTTCTTTTCCCCAAAATGAACTTGGGGGTAAACGCAAGGTTGTCCCTGTGTTTAACAAATTAAGCGTCACTCCCTGAAGATCTATGGGGGAGTGAATATGTAGATCCACGTATTTTATACCTTTGAGCTAGTTGAAGATGAGTAATCAGCCTCACGGCACGGCCGCTCTATCCCCGGGGGAATTGCCATCGTATTCATTGGATAGGAGGCTGTGAGGGCTCCAGAGTTGCTCGGGACGACGTGGAGAGCAGAAAAGTCTTGCCTTTATCGAGACTCGAACTCCGACCTCTCGGCCTTCCAGCCTCTGACCAGTCGCTATACCGTATGCTATCTATCTATGGCTCTACAACCTTGTGGGCCTTGGCCTCTTTTTCAGTTTCTTAATCTAAACGCAATCGGTAGGACTCCTTGGACGGGAGATCAGCCCTTCGCAAGGCCGCTACCTACACATAATAAAACAAACAGAATAAAGGCACAGAGACATCCATGTCTAATGAGATCCGAACCCACGATCCCAGCGTTCGAACGGGCAATGACTGTTCATGCCTTAGACCGCGCGGACGTTGTGATCGGCCACTATGCGGACTATGTTTGTAAAATCGACTTTAATATCGACATGCATGTCCATACGCTCGTTTGTACATAGCAGCGTCTAAATTTAGAATTTCATTTACAAGGAAGTTTGATTTATTCTTAATTCTTCAAAATGCTGTTTCGTCTGAAAAATTCGAATTAATATGTAAACAATCATGAATGTGAGTAGTGTGAGGATTTTTCGTGGAGGGTCATGGCATATTTGAAGGAAATGCCCTTGCATTTGTCTTAGAATTATGTTTAACAATAGGATAACCCCCCCTTCCCTTGATGATTTACATTCTGAGCGAGAGTTTATCCCAGTTCATCGCGGTAACAAGTTACAGCAGTCTCTGCAGACCAAAGATGACGAAACCACGCGCCCAAAAGCAAGTGAAGATGTTCCTGTCGATTCTACAATGCTGTTCAGCCTGCAATTGTTATACAGAATTCGTGGAATAACGGACATCCTTTGCAGTTTATTGTAAAGATTTCATTTGAAAGAATCTTCTTCGACAAAACGTTTTTCAGAGCACAATGATACAGAAACTCTCATCCTGCGGCGGCCTGATTGCTTCTTTGTTGACGTCCTTTCAGAGGTTCCTTACAGTGGATGGGCTGAATAAAACTGGATTTGTCCCATAATCTCCTTTGCTTTCTGGTCATTTTCTCTCTGATTCACTGCCACATAGAAACCCTGGTGTGTGGAAAAATTGAAAACTGCTCAGTAGGTGGAAATACACTGTACTTATTCAAACACAAACCCCTGTAATTGCTACATTTGCTGGATAGAAGCCCCATCTGATGTTGATTTATTTTAGGCCTACTTTTGTTTTAGTCCCTGAAGTGAAATAAGGTATACGTTGAGTACGACCCAACACTAAATACTACGTAATGAAAAATTTTCAAAACTTGCTGCAGAAATTAATACAGCTTAACAACATCAAATTCAGGTGAGCGTACATAAATATATGCAGATAAAGTCCAACAAAGTAATTGGTTTAGAATGGGCAGCGACATAGCTCAAGCGGTTAGTCGCTGGCTTTCCACCGCGGCGGCCCGAGTTCGAGCCCGGGTATAGTCAAGTGGGATTTGTGGTGGACAAAGCGGCGCTGGGGTAAATTTTCTCCGAGTACTTCGGTTTCCCCTGTCAATCTTCATTCCACCAAATTCTCCATCATCATAATCAGGTACAATAGGCCAATCAGTGGCCGACGTGCCGAGTGGACTCAGCTGGACTCCACCCCCCACTATGCGAATTAAAAAGAAAGTGATTTAGAAGCAAATGCAGATAAGTACCGTATGATTACGGTACGAAATCAAAAGCTGCAAAAACATAATAAATTAAAACGAGGAGGCTCTGGCCTTCTGGGATATGACATCAGGCAATTTGGTAGAGCATGTTTTGCCGAAATATTAATACATATTTAACAATCTACACGGCATCATATCAAAGACTATTATCTTCCTGTTCAGAGCAGTGGGAAACTAAATCCCCTTGAAAATGAAAATTAATTAAACACTGCGCTATAAAAACGTATGGGTAAGTGGATGTATAGATCCACATATTCTTGAACTCGGTATTAGTCAAAGGTCTTTTTTTGCGACTTATTTGCGTCCATCGCCAATCCCGTAGACGGTAATTTTATCAGCGCTATCGAGGTAAACCAGAAAACACTGGGTGGCGAAGCACAGATATGACGGCCAGCAGTGGACAGGAGTGGACGAAAAAAACCTAATCTACCAATTTAGGGATAAATTCCATTCCGTGTCCTAACTTCCGGGTACCTCTTCAACACCCATTATGCTAACACTCGCAATTGGATACGATCCTGTGCCAGTTATATGTACCTTCCGTCCAGGCAATCTACTCCCCTAAGATGTATCTTAATATTAACCTTCCACCTCCTCAATCTTCCTTGTGGCAGCTTTCCAAGAAAATTCCCCACTAAAATTCAGTATTCGCTTCTTTATCTCGTAAGAGTTATATGCCCAGCCCTCCGTATCCTCATGCATTTTACTACTGTAACAATTCTAGAGATCTATCACGAAGCTCCTCGTTGTATAGCAACTTAAACTGCTCACTTACCTCAACCTTCCGAGGTCCACGTACATTATTAAACTCGGAACTTTGTTTTAATAGACTTGTTAATTACTTTCTCCTAACAGACGGCGAAGCCGCGTTTGTCTGCTATAGAAAGGCTTCTGAAGTTACTGTTCTGAATGTGTATATCGATTTTTAGTGTTCTGGGAAGGGTTCTTTGCAACGCACTGGTCCACTGTTAGAAGGGGCCCACCTCATCCTTAGGCAGTTAATGGACAAGAGAAGGATATCTCAGAAATGCTACAGCTGTCTTGTATTTCAAATATCCAGAAAGCGTTTTGGTGTTCGGTATCTCAACTACTTCATTCTCATGATCTTATTCGGCCCATTCTGAGAAATGAGTGGCTTTCATAATGCGTGAGCTCAGCTAACTCCATGGAGCTGAGCCCCTCTTGAGGAGCCGCCAGTTACGCAGCTACTCAAGAATTTATGAACATTTTATGGAGTCCGAAGGTTCATTACCGTGTTCACAAGAACATTCCACCGGTCCCTATCCTGAACCAGATCAATCCAATCCATACCAACCCACCCTATCTCTCTAAAATCCATTTTAATGTTATCCTACCACATATGACTAGGATGCCTTGTGGTCTCTTTCATTCTGGCTTTTCACTCAGCTTCGCTGCCATTCATTCCACATTCCCTGTCCATCTCATTCTCATTGATTTGGTCGATTTAATTATAATTGGCGAAGACTACAAATTATGAAGCTCATTATGCAATTTTCTCCACCCTCCTGTCACTTCATCCCCCTTTGGTCCAAATATTCTCCCCGACACCCTCTTCTCAAACACCCACAGTCTATATTCCTCCCTTAATGGCAGACACCACGTTTCACACCCATACAGAAGCACAGGAAAAATTATACATTTTGTGTATTCTAATTAATAAGTTTTCAGACAGCAGACGGGAAGATAGAACGTTCTGAACTGAATGGTGGCAGGCATTACCCGAATTCAATCTCCATTCAATTTCCCCCTGAATCA